ATGAACAGACATATAACGCGAGGTCTTGGGAGGGTCCTGAGCACAGGCACTTCTGTCCCCATGGAGTTGGGGGCGCATCAACCTCTTGATGTGTGGATGTGTTCACCAACCTGGAAGCTCCCCAAACCCCTTAGTGGGATTTTTATGGAGGCTTCCTCTCGCAGTCACAATCAATTATTAACTTCATTTCCAGCCCATCTCCGCTCTCTAGAGAGGTGTGTGTGTGTGTGTGTGTGTGTGTGTGTGTGTGTGTGTGTGTGTGTGTGGCAGGGGGGTGCTGAAAATTCCAAGATGCCTTATTAGAATAAAAGACGCTCCTAACGCTCTTACCACTTAGAAAGTTACAAGGGCTTTAGGAACTCTGTGCCAGGAACTGGGGACAGAGACCAATATATATAGTATCTCACACTGTTACTGATGAAAAACTATGCTGTCTTTAACCTGAAGGTCATAGAGAAACTTTAATAGCATGCAAAAATGCTCATGACCCGGTGTTAACAACAACAAAAAGCAACATATAAAATTGAATCATATATGCAAAACAAATCACTCTCTCCCCCTCAAAGGATTAACTAGAAGTACTACTTAACAACGTCAGTAGTAGCTGCCTCAAGGTCCTGGAATTATAGGTAGCTTCCTCCTTTGTTTCTTTATATTTCTCTTTACTTCCCCCCAAATTTCTATATTCAACGTGTAATTTTTATAATCAGAGATAAGGTCAAATATTAAATATTTGTTTTTTAAAACCTGCCAGTTGCGGGTCACATGGGTACTTTGGCTTATTTAAATATTAGATACAGAGCCATCTCATTCATGTATAATAAGCCCTTCTTAACAGTGAGACAACATTCCTCCGATAACATCAGGTCAATGCATGCTCACATCCACAGAACTAAGTTCATTTTGGATACCCCAAAATATGTAATGCAGGAAATTATTTTTGTCTTTCCAACATGAGGTTTCAAGAATATCAGTATTATTGCTCAAACGTGGAAAAGGATTAATTACTTCCATTTTCTGCTGGACCTTCAACTTGGCATAATAATGTGCCAGCAGAAACACATCTGGTCACACTTCTGATAAAAGTCTACTGCCAGGGCTTCCCTGGTGGTGCAGTGGTGAAGAATCCACCTGCCACTGCAGGGGACACAGGTTCGAGCCCTGGTCCAGGAAGATCCCACATCAGCGGAGTAACTAAGCCTGTGCGCCACAACTACTGAGCCTGTGCTCTGGAGCCTGCAAGCCAGAACTACTCAGCCCACGTGCCACAACTACTGAAGCCCACGCGCCTAGTGCCCGTGCTCCACAACAAGAGAAGCCACCGCGATGAGAAGCCCATGCACCGCCAACAAAGAGTAGCCCCTGCTCGCAGCAACTAGAGAAAACCCGCGTACAGGAGCGAAGACTCAACGCAGACAAAAATCAAGTAAATGAATAAATAAATAAATTTATTTTTTTAAAAAGTCTACTGCCAAAGGTAGGCAGTGCTGTCTTGCACAAGACGGATTTCTTTTCTTTTTTTGTAAAAAGGACTGTCTGACAAGTAGCTGCCATGTCCAGAAATTGAAGCTAACACATTTTATGCTGTGTTATCTTGATGGAATTGCGTTTTAGCCCCACATACTCAAATACCAATCTATTTCTCCCCTCATATTTGAAAAGGAACATTTAGACAAAGGATAAAAATCTTGAAATGCAACCTTTATACCTGCCAAGAGTAATAAAACAAAATATGCTCCCTTCTCCTACTCTGGGTGGTACTAGGTCATACGCAGGCTGAAAAGCTTGGGAAAAATCGGATTTCTTTGTTTATAAAGTTTAAGAAATTCTTTCTCTTCAAATGTCTTTTCTTGCTCAGGTATACTAAAAGCTCAAACAAGTAACAGAAGTATGGATGTTCTAACTGAAACATCTCAAATATCACTTTTATTTCAAAGTTTTCGTTGAAAAACTCAAATGATTATCAGATGATAGTGATCATGTATTTGACCCTAGCTAATAAGTACAGTCACAACATAAATGTCTTATTTTTCAGTATTAAACAGCAGTAAAGTCGACCTTTCTTGATAGTATCTAATGTACCAATAATATCAGACATTCAAAAGGAAATAACATAGCCTGAGTTGATTTAAAGAAAACTTTTTATTTTGACAGCAGCTTCCTGCTGCAGATCTTTCTTAAATGACAGTATAAACAATACAAGAATGAGAAACATAAACTCATTGCTACAAAATGCTTAGACAGCAATTGCCCTAATCTGAGAGCAGCTAGTTTAAACAGCCCGAGGAAACTTTTTCAACTAGAGTTACGTGGACACAATTATGATGTTATATGTAAGAAGCTCATGGGTTAGAAAATATTGTAGAACTTTAAGTTAGTGCGTTACTATCAATGAGTCAATCCAGAGTACTTACAACTGAACTGGACATCCAAAGGCTTACTTGTAACTTCAAGATACGAATTCATTTTGTGGAAAATTTTGGCCAAAAGGCAAAAAGGAGCCTATTGAGCCATTCTGCTAATGCCTATTTCTCATCTTCCACACTCCGACTCAGGATATGGTCTAGATAACAACCTCATATGTGTTTGAGACTGCCAGCCCCTGCTGTTTACTTCCATCTAAATCCGTTCTGATTTTTATGCTATGTATCTCCTGTCTCAGCAATAAGCAATGAGGATACAGCTGAAGGTGAAGTCCAGAGATGAAGAAAATTTAGGAACCAAAAAGCATCTGACTTGCTAGCTTTATAAATAATCCAGGACAGATCAGAAACCAATGCCTATTTTGACTGTCTTAAATAATGTCAGTGTTAATCACCAAAAAAGGCACTGATTTAACTTCTCAAGCATAAAAGCAGGGGGCGGCGGGGAGCGGGGGAGGTGCGAGGCGGTTCTGATCAGCTGAAAAGTCAAGAAAATGGGTAGAGTACATCTCACTACTACAGAGCTCTGGGTGAGCCTCCACCCATTCATTCTCTTAACAAACATTTATCAAATACCATTAATTATGTTGTGTTAGAATTCAGACATGAGTAAGGAATCCAGTTGGGGAGAGAGAAGCTAGGATAAAACAGAGGAAATGAAGTGTATTTACAGATATAAAACTTGGGAAGGCAGACAGGGGCAGCTATTTGCAACTGAAAAAGGCTTCGCAGTAGAGGTAATAATGAAGCTGAGACTTGAAGGTTGCACAGAATTTCTACAAGTCAAAGAAATGGAAAGAAAGGACAGTCTAGGTTCTGAGGAGGTAACCAAAGACTCTGGACAAGTGCTGGGCACACCTGCAGAAATAGCAAGACAAGTAAGGATGTGTAGCATTCCTGGGGAACACGGTGAAGGATAAGTCTGGAAACGTTCACTGCAGCCGGACAGCGACGGGGCAGGAAAGGCACAGTAAGTGC